AAAAGATTCAATTTAGAGGCACAAAGAGAATGTCCGATAGTAATATAATAACCAATCCTGGAGCTGGGCGGTGGTGGTTCGAACCTGTAATCCTACCTACTCAGTAGGCAGAGATCAGCAGGGTCGCAGTTCCAGGCCAGCCAGGGCAAATAGCTCATGAGACCCTATCTCAAAAATACCCAACACAAAAAGGGCTGGCAGAGTGATTCAAGTGGTAAAGCGCCCACTTTGAAGTCTTGAGTTCAAACCCCAATCCCACCTATAATAATAATAATAATAATAACCAAGATCGATAACTGAGCCCCTACGCTTCCACATACTAACACTCCAGTAAGGGTCATAACTCCCATTTTACATGTGAGAAAACTGAATCTTAGGACAGCTTGGGGACTGAATCAAAGTTCCATCATTCATGAGCTCAGTGATTTTTGGACTCGGTGACTTTGTAATAAGGGAGAGGGAGAAGGCTGGAGGAAGGGAAGGAACACAGGGCAGCCCTCCAGGGGCTCCAGCCTCACCTCCTTGAGGTCGCGCTGCAGCTTGGAGTTTGCTTCCTCCGCCTTACCCAGCTCGCGGTGAGCGGTGCCCAGCTCCTCCTCCAGCTGGCTCATCTGACGGCACAACACCGCCAGGCGCTCCCGCAGCTGGCACACCTCCGCACGCTGCCGCTCCAGGGCCTCCTCCAGTTCTGCTGTGCGCCGGTTGGAATCCCCGCCAGGACCCAGGCCATTGGCAAGGGTCTGGAGTGAGAGAGGAAGGGCCAGAACCCAGAGCAGAGAGCACAGAGACATAGAGGGAATGCAAGGAGAAAAGTTGATCAGCTGGAGAGGGGGTGTCAAAGATCAGTCCACGGAGGTCAACCGTGTGTCACAGAAGTTAGCTAGGAGACCTAGAGGTGAGGATCTAAGGTTCAGATGTTCTAGGGTCAGTGAGGATAGTAACAAGTGTTAAAACGCCCAGTACATAGTCAAGGACTTGAACGGAAGTCACAGGAAAGAGACTTCCACCTCTCACCTGCCCATCCCCATCCTTGCCCTGCTCTTCCAGCCCCGACCGCCGCCTAGATAACTGATCTCGAAGGTTCAGAGTCTAGAAGAACGAAAAAAAGATCAAGACAAAGGGGGCTCCTGGAATCCCGGCCCTATCTCCCTTAGCCCCAGCTCTATCTCCTCTTAGCCACGCCTTTCCCCATCCAAACTTTTTCTCCTCAGTCACAGGAGCCCCACCCAGTTCTCGCCTTAGTCTCACTGCTACTGGGAGGGTCCGGTTACTTTCCACGGTCCAACCCCATTGGTGCTCTGCCTTTGGAACCTGCCCAATCAGTTCCTTAGTTCCGTCCCAAGCCTCCCCTTCCTGACCACGCCCCCACCTCCTGATTGCTCAGCTCCAGCTCCTCTTCTAGCACCGCCACTCTCTCCAACGCCATCCGAAGCCTTTCCCGGACCTGGGGATGAGGATGGGGATAGGGCAGGACAGGAATGAGACGGAGACAAGACCCAATCTAAGATAGGTGACTGGCCCTGGCTCAGAACACCCCCTGGACAGGTCTGATACGACAACGTTAGGATTCCTGTCTCTATAATGGGCGTTCGGCTCCAACCACATACCAGGCAGCCTGTCCCACTGGTATCCCCCCACCCCAGTTCACTTTTCCTCTATCAACCAGCCGGGTCCGAGCTCACATAGTGTGTCCCAATCAATCACAGTAAACATTTTTCCCACTTCGGACATCCCCAACTAATCACAGGGTCTCTCCCACTCAGTAGAGCTCCAGACAACCACAGGTTTCTGTTCTTCATCCCAGCTCCTCCAATTTTCATACCTTCTCATCCAGAGCCTTGTGGTGCTCGAAGAGGGATTTTAGGGCCTTAAGCACCTCCACCTCCGAGGAGACCCCGCCCGGGGACTGGGCCTGGCGCTTCACCACAGTCATGCGCAGTGACCTTTCATGCCTGGACACCAGGCACTCCAGGTGTTCCAGGAGGAGCTGGAGCAATAGAACACCGAGTCAAAGAAAAGAGGCAAGGCACAACGGCAGGTTCGAGGAAGGGGGTGACAAGTGGAGAGGACAAATGGCGGAAGAGATTGGGCACCACAAGAGACAGGTCAGGAAAAGAGAGAGGGTTAGCAGAGGTAGTCAAGGAAGGGATGGTTCAATTTAAAAAAAAAAAAAAAGGTTATGTAGCTCGGGAAGGGACACAGAGGAAGGAGTGGGACCAGAGGAGGTGACCAGCTAGGAAGTAAAAGCAGAGAAGAAAAAATGAAAAATAAGTGCTGAAAAAGATGCCCCGCCCACCCCAGTTAGGCCTCGCCCCCAACACTCCTCACCCGCGTATTGTTCCGTTCTGCCTTCAGCTCTGCAATCTCTTCCTCCCTCTCCAGAAGCTGCTCCCGACATAAGTTCAATTCTTTCGTCAGAGCCGCAAACTCCTGTCCAGGTGTGGGCAGAAAGGGAACAATCAGATCAATCCTTTCCCTATCTCCGTCTTTCTAAGGGACTTGAAACGCCCGCCCCTCCTGGTTAAGTCCCGCCCCTTATTGACGCTCAGGCCCCGCCCACCAACGTCAAGCCAATCCCAGATTCCTCCCTTCCAGGTATCAAGCCCCGCCCCTTCAGACTGCCCTCTACCCCGAGGCTCCGCCTCCCACAGGCCCCGCCCCGGCCCCGCCCAAACCTGAGGCAGCGCGATGCTGAGCTGGCGCTGCAGCGAGTCCTTCTCGTGGCCGAGCTCACGCAGCCGCAGTTGCGCGGTAGCCAGCCCGTCCTGCGCCTCGCGCAGCGTCTCGAGCAGACGCTCGCGCTCCGTGAGCATCGTGACCATGAGGCGCTCCAGCTCGCCGCCCGCTTCGTCCGGGCCCAGCGCCGAACCCCGCCGGCCATCCTCACTGATGGTGGGCATCACCTCGCACATCATGGCGGCGGTGCCGGCCTGCAGGTGCAAGGAAGGGACGAGGAACAGAAACCAACCTCGTCAAGGTACAGGCAGAGAACTGAGGCTCGGCCATTAGGATACGACATGGGGGAAACTGAAGTGGGACAATCCAGGCACAACACAGGAGAAACTGAGGCCCAGCTACTGATCATGACACAGGGGAAACTGAGGCACTCTCACTAGAGCACTCCACCAGATAATCTAAGAGTTGGCCACCAGGTGATGGGGAAACTGAGGCCTGCCCATTGTAATTATGGCACCCGGTAAACTGAAATCCATTGCTCTCCAGCAAACAGCCTGGCGACCTGGGTTAGAGCATTTAGGGGAACTGAGGTCAGACTCCAGAAGGCACTGGCAGCAAACCCAGGCCTGGCCACTCAAAGGAACTCAAGCTGTGTGACCCAGGCACTGCCTAAGTGAGCGTGGAAAAATCAGCTTCTTCCTATTCTGACTGTGAGAACCCACAACCCACTTCCTACATAGGAAAACTGAGGCCCAAGCCAAAAGCCACAGGGCGGCGAACACAGAATTAGGTCACTAGGATGTGATTACCTGTATAATATCACTGGAATAGTCCTCACTATCTAGCCCAACTCCTATGTCCTTCAGTTTCCCAGATATTTGGACATCCCCTCACACACAAGAATTTAAAGACCACACTCCACTTGAAAAAAATCAAGCCGGGCGCCGGTGGCTCACAGCTGTAATCCTAGCTACTCAGGAGGCTGAGATAAGGAGGATCGTGGTTCGAAGCCAGCCCGGGCAAATAGTTCCTCGAGACTTTATCTCAAAAAAACCCTTAACAAAAATAGGGTTGGCGAAGTGGTTCAAGGTGAAGGCCCCGAGTTCAAGCCCAAGTACCTCAAACTCAATAAATAAATATAAAAAGCCAGGCAGAGAGTGGGCTGTGTTAGTCATCTGGTGCTTCATGACTGAGGAGTCCAAGATCTAGCTCCCTCCTGCCTCAGGTCATTGGAGTCTAGTCCCCCCAGTCCCCATCACCCCCTAGACCTAGAAGTCTAAGCCTCCAGCTCTCTCCTGGTCAATTCCAGAAGTCAGAGACCACACTCCCTTTTCTCCCAGGAGGCTCTCAGCCTCCTCCCTAGACCCAGAAATCTCAGCCTTCAGATGCCTCCTCTCCCTAGGGAGTCCTGAGTGCAGGATCCAGGAGTTCTAGGATGCTCCCCTGGCCTCCAGCCCTCCAGGGGCGTTAACCAGGAGGGAAGGGCGGGGCTTCTGGGCGGGAAGGCGGGGCTTGAGACCCTGCAGCCAGGGGCTGGGCCGAGATGAAGAGAGGCCCCCAGCCGCTCCCTGGAGCACTTCAGGTCTGACAGGTCCAGCTGGCCCGGCCGAAAGCAGGAGGGACTTTCACTCTGTTCCTTCCTTTCCTTCCCCTACTACAGACAGCGGAATAACCAGTTCTAAGAGTGGATAATTCCCAACCCCGCCCAATATGTGCGCCGTGCCCAAAGCTGGAACTGGGGCTTTGGACTCCCGTAGGAAGAGGAGGGGGCTGAGGGGCTCTGGGACCTGGGAGAGGGGGCAGCTAGGTGCCTGAACCCTTGGGTCTTTGAAGTAGTGTATCTGAAAATCTAGACTTCTAAATCCCAGAGCTCAAAGACCAGATACAGAAAAACATTTATGAGAGCAGTCTAGCCTTAGGCCAAAACCCAACATGGTATTTTCAAACTACACCCTGATTAGAAGATGTGACACAAAGTGTTTTAGGAAGTCTGTTTGCTCTAGAACCTCAGATTCACTGTGGAGGAGACGAAATACAGCATGGATGAACATAGAACCTGAACAGCCAATGCCAGGAAAACACTACAGTGTTCACAAGAAAGACACATGCTTCTACAATGACCATGTGCTTGACAGCAAGATCCACAGGTAAGGGTACGTAGAGGGACATTGTAGAGGTCTGGAACTTAGGACCAGTCCAAAACAACCCAATAACTTAAAGAGAGTCAGGGTCATGCCAGAACCCCAAACACTTAGCATAATGAGGTCTAGGTACATAAATACAATACATACAAAGCCTAGTCAGGAGATAAAATCTAGAACCCAGAACCTACTACAGATAAAGGTATTAACACAGAATATAACAGGGGTCACAGTCTTGGTTTGACCTGTGTCTAGATAATGCTAGAATCAGAAGACAAAAATGCTTTCTAGGTTAGGCATCCTGGCTCACAGCTATAATCCCAGCTACTCAGGAGGCAGAGATCAGAAGGATTGAGGTTCAAAGCCAGTCCAGACAAACAGTTCTCAAGATCCTATCTCAAAAATACCTAGCACAAAACAGTGCTGATGGAGTGGTTCAAGTGGTAAATGAACCTGCCTAGCAAGCCTGAGGCCCAGTGCTGCCAGGGAGACAGAGAGAGAGAGAGAGAGAGAGAGAGAGAGAGAGAAAGAAAGAGAGATAGAGAGGCTCTAGAACTCAAAGTATGCCCTGGGGGTGAAGGAAAACATAGAAAGTAGCAAGGGGGCTGTCTGAAGGGAAAGGCAGAAGAATGCATGCTTAGAAGTACTCGTAAATTTCAGGAGATAAAGACTGAACCGGCAAGGGAGGGGTGTTCTGGAAATCAGAACACTTGAGGCTGAAGAGCTTAGAAAAGGAGAAAGCCTAGAACATGCTTCGTCTACCAAAGTGACAGGTGGAGGAGAAAGGCCACAATCCACCAGGGGACAAAGAAGATGAAAATGGATGGACCTAGAACCTAGAACCTGAGGAAGGAAAATGTAATGTAGCACATTTCAGTGGAAAATCTTCCAGATTTGAGATCGTGAAATTAGATGGACCCAACAACAGAGGAATGTGTTTTAGAACTGATAAGGACAAATAGGAGGCAGGCTAAAGCACTTCATTGGAACACACATATTCTGGAAATTAGAATGTCCCTGGAAAGAGAACAGAATCTAGAACAATGCCAAAGTCATGGGTAAAACCTAGAACACACCAAAATTAATTAAAAATTAGCAGAGACCTAGGCTGGTGGAGTGTTCAAATGGTACAGCACCTGCCCAGCAAGCATGAGGCCCTGAACTTGAACCCAAGTACTGCCAAAAAAAAGGGAAGAAAAATTAGCAGAGACTAAGTAAGGTCTAGTTGCTAGAATCTAGAACATGTCTGAGAGGATGAGATCAGAATTTGGCTTGGGGACATTATCTAGATATTTGGAGGGTTGCATAGTGAGTTCTAAGCCAGCTTGGGCTACATAGCAAGACCCTGTCTCAAAAAAAAAAAAAACCCTCCAAAAAAGGACATATGGAAAAAAGACATGCCTAGAATTCATAGAACTTGGATCTTAGAACTTAGATCGCACCTTGGTGACAATGGAACAGAGACATCAATTAGACACGTTCTAGTACTCAGAATCTAGAACACATACCAATGAAAGGACACACACAACTAGAAATATGGAACATAGAAGGTAGGTAGGTTCTAGATCACGTAATTAACCTAGAGCACAGGATGGGGCGAACGTTTGGATCATCAAGCCTGAGTGTGCCTAGAATATGGGACACCATGACATGGGACTCAGGAAACATCTCAAGAATCCAGGTCTTAGGGGAGACGGCGGGGAGAAGATTCTAGAAGCCTAGCACCTGAGAAGATATGGGGATGAGGCAAGGGTTTGTCAAGCCCATAGAAAATATAAGTTTGGTAGCCATGGGGTCATGCTGATCATGGTCCCCAAAACTGAAAGCTAAGGAGCAAGATATGGTGTGGGGGACAAAGCCTAGACTCCTGAATCCTTGCGGAGGAAAAAAGATAGGCTTAGAGCCCGAACCCTTATTGGGAGGGAGAGCAGGGGGCAGATCAGAAGCTAAGGAATTACATTCCAAATATCTGAAAGGAAAGGAGTCATGGCGTCGGAGTCCCTAAGGGAACAGATGCTGGGGTACCAGGAGGCTGAGTATATTTGTCTGAGGGGCACGGGCTGTTAAAGTAGGTGCTAAGGGATGGGAGGGCAAATGCTGGAAAACTGGGTTTCTATGTCCTGACTAGCGTAAGGATCCAGGAGACGGACGAGCTCTGTCAAGCTTCAAAAACACAGAACGGGCTGGGAGCTGGATGTCCGGTTGTCAAGGCTCCTAAGGTGGACAGGGTAGGAACGTTCAGAAGCCCTGGTTCCTCAGGGAGCAGCTGGAGTCCCGAAAAACTGGGGTGCTGAGGATGGGGCCTGAGAGCCTGGCCAGTGGAACCCCGCGAGCCGGGCTCAGGGAGGGCCCGGGTATCCCCGGGTCAAAGGCGCAGCGGGGGGTATCCCCGCACCGCCCGCCCCCCTCCCTGGCGGCCGCACGAGGTGGGGGAGGCCAGGCTGCCTAGTGTGCTGACCATGGACAGCTCCAGAGCGGGCCTGTGTCCAGAGAGGCCGGCGAACCGGCCTGGACCGAGGGACGCGGCCGGCTGTCCACGCCAGAGACTGAAGACGGGCAGACGGGTGTGCGAATGGGGGACGATGCGGACGCGACTGGGGGCGACTGGCCGTAGCTCGGGGGCAGTCTCGCACAGCCGTGGCCGGTGTCTGGAGCTCCCGGGACTGGGCCGGGGAGAGGGAGCTGGGTTCAGCAGGGGGTCCCCAGGGCTGAACGGGGACATCCAGGCTTCTGGGCCCTGGAGGAGGCGCAAGGAGGCAGTACGCCTGGGATTCTAGGGTTCGGTTGGAGACTCTGGGCTCCGAAAAGGGACATGCCTGAGTCTCCTGGGTTGGGTTGTGAAATCTGGACTCCAGGGTCCCCGGGGATGAGGAGGGAAATTCAGGATCTTGAGGAGGCGGGGGAAGCTCGCCGGAGGGTCCCCGGGGTGGGCGCTGCCAGGCGGGCTGGGCCAGGCTCTTACCTACCTGGTCCGCGGCGGCTGCGGGCGGAGCTGGGCTGCAAGAGGGACGTGGGGTGGGGTAGGGGGACCGGGCGGGGCCCCTGGCGGTGGCCGGGGCCCGGATCTGTAGCTCTGGAGCCCTGTCTCCGCCGCTCGCGCGGGCTCAACGTCTCTTGCTCCGGCTTGGGCGCTGGGGACCCCCCTCCCCCTCACAGTCTCACTGCTTCCTACCCCCTAAAATAGCCCCCTGTCCCTGTCACCGTTCAGTCTCCCCCGCGAGGCCACAGCCGCCAGATCCAGGGGTGCCCACCAGCGCCCCCCAAATCCCACCTTCCCCCCCAAAAAAAAATTCCTCCTCCCTCCCCTTCCCCCCCACAGCTCCGGGCGTTCGTGGCCCCTTTAACAGGAGACTGACAGACGGCGCCGAGTAGCCAATGGGAGGTGGCGTCGGCGCCGGCCGGCGACTAGACCCCGCCTCCGCACGGGCAGGGAGGGGTCCCGCGGGCGGAGAGCAGGAGGCGGGGCTCAAGGTTCCTAGGCCAATAGACGCGCGGCGTGCGACGACTGGGGCGGGAGGCGGAGCCCGGCAGGGGGATGATGTCACCTGGAGCGAGTATCGCGTGGCGTGGAATGCTAGCGGCGACCCGGGGTCCCGGCGGTGGCGCGCGCCGGTTCTCGCGCCGCACGGGACACGAGGGCTGGGCGGGTTGGATTTTTAAGGCAAGGGCGGCTCCCGGAAGGACGTGTTTTAGTTGGAAGGAGTGACCGATAGGTGAGTGCACCTTATTCTGCACCCCCTGCGCCCGCCTCGGGAACTGCACGAGGCCCCCCCCACTCCCACGCAGACAGTAGTGTGGCCCGTAGGGCTCCCCCGGTGGACGAGGCTAATGGTTCGCTCCGCCCCGCCCACACAAGGCCGCCCACTGGCTCCTGCCGCGTTTCAGGACTCCTTGGTCACGCCAGCTTCGGAGGAAGGGGCTGGGCCCTGGCGCTGGGTTAAGAGTTGAGGGCGTAGTCGTCACTTCTGCCCCCCGCACTCACACCCAACCTGGGGCCCAGCCTCCACCCTCGGATTTGACCCTAGGAAGCCGGCCTGCCTCTTCAGACCTGGGAGTGGTCTCTACCTCTGCTCTCAGACTGCAAAGGGATTGGTTGGGACTTAGTCTTGATCTCAGCTCCTCTCCCTTCCCAACGCCTCAAGATTTGCAACGCCCGGATCCAGAACAGACACACAGACACTCAGTGAGGGTCAAAGATCTTTAAGTAAGGAGCCAGTGACAATAAATACTGTACAGGGGAGAGGATCCAGATCTGTGCGTTCAGCCTCGAGATTCCAAGGACCTTCAGGGAGGAAAGAGAGGGGACCCAGGCTCAGGGGAAGGGCCTGGAGCATGAAAGGCAGGGACTGGGGTTCCAGAAGCAACGGCCCAGGGCAGTGGGTGCAGGGGTTCCAGAGGCAGTAGGTTCCAGATGTGGGGACTTGGAGCAACAGGGGCCCAGGGGATTGGGCCACAGTGTGTGTGTGTGTGTGTGTGTGTGCGCGCGCGCGCGCGCGCTGGGGGTGGCAGTGGAGGTCCCAGGAACCACCGGCCTGGTTTAGGGTTCTGGGGCTAGGGGGAGGCAGTGGTGGCCCCAGGGCCTTGGTGGCCAGGTGCTCACGTGTAGCTCTGGTGCTGCTGGCGCCTTCGAGCAGACCGCATCTTCTCGAAACGGGCCTCCATCTCCTCCAACACCCGTGGTGTGTACCGAACCACAAGCTTCACAGAACCCTGCGCCGCCTTCAGCAGCTCCACTGCCTTCTCGTGCTGCTCACCCTCAACGCTCTGCAGGGCAGGGCCTCCCACAGAACACTGGCCTGGGGCCTGCTGCCCTGGCCCACCCCATTCAGGACATGGGACCATGCCAGAAAGGCAAAGGCCACATGTCCTCCATGTGGAAAAGTCATTAACTTTTAACTGTGCTTCTTCCTCCCTCCCCACTCCGACCTTCCAGTTCCCCTTATCAGAACAGTCCCTTCCCCTGGTCCCTCAGCGGGACCATCAGGCCCATCCTAGTCCTCTCTTTCCCAACAGCCCATTGTCTTCCTGCCCAGACTTCCTCTTCTTGGTCCTCACAGCCCTAACCCAGCTCAGACCCTGTCCTTTCCCCTCTGGACTCTTAATCTAGCCTCGCCCCCTCATCCATCTCCCACAGCCCAGATGGGTTTTTCTACCTTCTCCAGGCTAAGCCTTTCATTTCACAGTCCCCTTGAGACAAAGTTCCAGATGAGAATTCTCAGGTCCCAACCGACTCTAACCACGGTGTTTTTTAATCAGCTCCATGCCTATCCATAACAGCCAATCTCTCTTCATCTCAGATGAGTGCAGAGTTACAGCCCCACCTACAACACTCTTAAGCCAGGACCACCCTTCCACCTTGCTTGTCTGGAAAACTACTCATCTGTCAACACCCAATTCAAATGTTCCTCCTGCAAAAATGTCCCTCATCTACACTGAGTGGGTGCCACATCTGGGTTCTCACAGTGATTTTCACCTCCTCATTAGGTCTCTGGATTGGGACTATTGATTTTAGTCAGGGTCTGCTCCCTCTCTAGACAGGGAGTCCTTGAGGGTTGGCATCCTGGCCAACTCTTTTGGAGTCTGCAGCATTGCACAGCACAGTGAGGGCCACCAGTGCTGTGTGTCGAATGTGACAAGCAGGAACTACACTGGTGCAGACATAACCCCCAGCCCTGCCTCAGCACCCCCCACTCACCACACCATTCACAGACAGCAGTTGGTCCCCACGCTTGAGACCTCCATGGCGATCAGCCACACCTCCAGGGATAACACGAGAGATGTAGATAGGTGAGTTCTGCTCTTTGCCACCCATGATGTTGAAGCCCAGGCCCTCGTCTGTCTTGGGCAGCTCCACTACCCTGGGATGCGCGTGGCCCTCACTCGCTGTGAAGGCAGCCACTGTGGCCTGGGAGAGAAAAGTGTCTGAAGGTGAAGAACCCTCTGTGGTGAGCAAGCAAGCATCTCAGGCCAAGCAGGAGAAACTTGAGATCACCCTATGATGACTGCCTGCCACGTGCATGCTTCCGACATGTCAGAGAGAAGTCTTCATTTGGTGTGAATCTTGAACACTCAACACCTGCCAATCATGCTGTTTGACAGATGAAAATGAGGCCTGGGGGTGGGGGAGTTGAAAGCCTCCCGTTGCAGCAAGCAGCCTCATGAACTATTCTAAGCTCCCTGGGTTTAATCTGGGGCTCCATCACACAGACATTTAGTTTCAGGTTACCATCTAGGCAGCAATGCCATGCTGGTTTCCATTTGTGTTCCTAAAAATGCCTTCATATGACATTTAAACTAGAAACGTTCATATATTTGAGGAAACTATAAATAATCATAAAGGTGGTAGGTAGAATTTATTTTTGGTGGGTGGGACTGGAGTTTGAACTCAGGACTTTACATTTGCAAAGCAGGCGCTCTACCCCTTGAGTCACACCTTCACTCCATTTTGCTCTGGTTATTTTGGAGATGGGGGTATTGAGAACTATTTGCCTTGGTTGGCCTCTAACCTTGATCCTCCCTATCTCAGCCTCACCAAGTAGCTAAGATTACAGACATGAGCCACCGGTATCCAGCCTCCGGTGGTACACAGATTTTGACATGAAGGAGAAGACGGGAATGGCTGGCCTCCAAGAGGTACTGAGCTAGCCCGAGCAGTTCAGGGGAATCCCCGCCCAGAGCTACAGGGTGGGGGCGCCTACCTTGGCCGTGGCATGAGCTCGGATCTCAGCACTGCCGCTGATGTCCAGCGTGTCATAGAGCTGCTCGTACACCTGGGCAAGGATGCAGTGGCATCAGGGAGCCGCCAGTCTCCTTCTCCCCTCCACACAGGGGTCCAGGTCTCCGGACCCCTTCCCACCCAAGGGTCCGCCCCGCCCCCGCCCCGGAGTCCGAGGCAACTACAACTCCCAAAGAGCCCCAGAGTTGCCGCGTAGGCACCCCGCGGCGGGTCTCCTCGGGAGCTGCCGGGAGGCGTAGTCTCCGGGCTCGGGACGACGGGGAGGAGGAGGATGCCGGGGCTCACCTCGCGGATGGCGGAGCAGAAGCGGCTCTGCAGCACTCGTTGGAGGGCCTGCAGCTTCTGCGGGGGCAGCTCCCCGCTGCGTTGGAGCCGCTCGAGGAGCTCCACCGCCCGGGACACGTCTGTGGGGCGGGGGCGCAGAGACACACGGGGAATCAGAGACGCCGAGACGCGGAGAGCCCGCGAGAGATGCGACACGACACGGCGTAAGGGCGAGCGCAGCCAGCCGAAGGAAGGACCGCCGGAGCGCAGTCGGGCATCCCGCAGAGTGGCGTGGCGAGCGAGCGACCCCGCTGTCCCAGCACCCTTCCCAACCTCACCCACACACGGGTAGGTGTGTGCAGTGGGCGCCCCCGCCCGGGACCCTCCCACGCTCACGGACCGCGGGCTCTGCGCCCTGCCCCGCCCACCCCGCCCGGGCCACCCGCCCACCGGCGCCGGCCTAGCCTGGCAGGAGGGGCCGAGATGTGGGCACAGGCCCGATCGGGTGGGCAGGGCCGCCCCCTGTGTGCTTACCCCGCTCCAGTCCCAGCGGCTCCACCAGTGCAGCCATGTCGGCGCCACTGCTGCTAGCAGCCCGCCTGCCCCGGCGCCGGCGAGGAGGCGGTGCTCCGCGAGGCCACGCCCCCGGCCACGGGCGCCCCCTGCGTGCGCTTCGCTCCTCAGCGCCGCGACATCGCTGCTGTCGCCCCGGTCGGACTGTTCTGTTTGCCATCCCTCCTTTGCAACTCCGGAATTCCCGTCTGCATCTCCTTCCATCTCGCTCCTTCCTGTCCTCCGCACCTGTCTGTCCCCTCCCTAACCTTTCCCAAATTCCCACGCTGAACAAACGCGTCTTCGGCCCAAGAAGACGCACACATTCCCATTGCCCTAATGGGGCTGTCAGTCCATGAGATGATAGACAACCACCTACGCCCGGATTAAGAGTTGAGAGTGGGAGGTGATGGATGATCTAGGAGATGAAGGAAATCCTCGAGGAAGGACATTGAGAGTCCTGGGAAGTAACATCAACAAGTGGTGAGATCTGGGTCACCCCGCCACACACGAGGCTTCATGGCTGGAGAGCAGTTGCAACGAAGGCGAAAAGGTAGCCAGGATACTTTATGCATGACCTTGAGTGTTGGTCTATGCGCGTTCAGTTTAGGATATCATGACATCGAAGAGTAAAAATTGTTGCCACCATGGAAACTGGATCGGATAGGAGCAGGATAGGAGGGGAAGCTGCAGCAGAGGGTAGGAAGCGTCCCAGCAAGCTCTGGGTGGCTGTGCCAATCCTGGGCAGATATGGAAAGTGTGTGCAGAGGGCAGCTGTGCTATTTGGTGGGATGGTCGTGCTGGAGGAGGAATAGGGGATACTTTGAATTTGAGGTGCCTCCATTGTCCAAGAAAAGATAGCCAGGGTCCGGTTGTAAGAGGCGTCTGGCCTGCAGGCAGTTTCGGGAGTGCAGTCATACAAGGTAAATGAAACCAGAACAGTGGATGAGGATGCCAGGGCAAGACCGGTTGTGGCTCCAATGGTAGAGCACCCAAGTACAAGGCTCGACAGTGCCACTCCTTGGCCTTATGACAATTGTGCCCTATGTCCTACACCTCCTGCCCAACTCAAGCTTTCTTTTCTGTATAGAGGATGGAGCCCAGGACTTCAGGCTTGGTAGGAAAATGCTCTACCGCTTGAGCCACACTTCCAGTCCACTTTGCTTTGGCATTTTGGAGATGTTTCCAGAACCCTTTTCCAAGGCTGGCCTCAAGCTGTGATCCTCCTGATCACAGCTTCCCAAGGAACTAGGATTGCAGGTGTGAGCTACCAGCACTGGGCTGTCTTGGTATTTATAGGGTTCAAAACAAAATCAAGTAACAGGCTAATAACAGCACCAGTCCCTGTGCCTCTAAGGACACACTGCAGGAGCAACTTGCAGATGGTGTCTGAGAGTTGCTTTGGTATTGAAAAAACATGCTGTTTCTTGATTTATTGATTTAGATGTTAGTAATATATTACATATTGATTTTCTGTTCTCATTACCTTCCCTCTCTTCCTGTGAAATTTTTATGGTGTCAGCTTTTGCAATCTATAGTATTCACAGGATGTCTGACTACAGTGTTGTTACTGGAGGGCCTGAGCTGGGGTTTGAGATGCTATTTCCTTTCCTGAGTAACTTTTTGCTTTTTCGGTGTTTTCTGTGTATCTTCTTTCCCCACATTTTGGGTCTGTTACTCCACCCCACCCCAAGTCTCTGACACAACAGATTATATACAGATAGTTTTTCCTGCCTTGGTTTCCTGCAACATAAGTACTTTTCTTGGCATACCTTTTTTCTTTTTGGTAGAAGTGGTGTTTGAACTTAGTGCCTTGTGCTTGCTAGGCAGGTGTTCTACTAAATAAGCCACGCCCCCAGCCCCATGCCTGGTATTTGATGAGCGGATGTGGGCCTTGTGAGCTAAAAATCACAGTACTTATAAAGGTTGTGAATATTTCCCTCCAGGGAGAAAGACCCTGCTGTTTTGGCTATAGCTTCATTTTGTGGCACTATGGGCATCTCTAGCAGGGCCACCCCACCACGGGAGGGCTTTGAATCCCTTTCTCCCAGCATGGCTGCTGAGATCTTTTTCCCCTCGTGTTTAATGCTAACTTTGCCTGACCTGGGATTACCGGCAGGTACTGCCACACCAGCCTGGCTGTGCTTTAGCTTCTCAGTGAAGGCATATTCTGATGAGGTTCTGAAAGTTTTGGGATGAGGGGCTAGGGATTTGGTACCCATCTCAAGGGCAGGTTGCCTGAGCTCAGTGCCCTACTTGTGAACCTTGCCCTCAAGTTTGGCTGCCTAGCTGAACATCTGGCACTCAGCCCATGGAAGATGGTTTTCTGACAGTCCGATCCCAATGCTAAACGAACTCAAGAAAAATGCAAGGGTAAATAAGAAGTCCACCTATGTGCCACATTCTTGAGGCCCCAACTCCCCACACCCCCTCAAACCTGATGTGCACCATGGTCTTTCACAATGGTCTGTGCCATGTTAGTCTGAAACAGGACGCTCTTGGTCCAAACCAGAACGAAGCCCAAACTATCTATGACATCCAGGTATCCACAAAAATACTACAAGAGCCACTGAGTTCTTTTTCCCCTAAATCCTTTCTTCCAGGGCCAGTGTTTCTATTTATCTTGTGGTCTCTTGTTGCATTTCTTCCCCCAAATGCCTGGGTGTCCTTGGTTGTATCCATACACTGAGGCCCTTCAAAGCTGGAGTCTGGACTCTGCATCAAATTTGGTGTATCATATGAAGCTTGCCTTCCTGCCAAGACTGACAAAAGGTCCTCACTGTATCTGCCCCAGGAGCCAAGCCCAGCTCTCAGGCATCCCGAGTCTACACAGGCTCCACCTTCACTCTCCAACCTCATCTACCTGGTGCTGCAGCCTCCACCTTCCTGCTCCAGACTTCTACAAAGGCCTGCTGTCTCCTCAGTGCTCATCAGATGAAGTGTTCTCACACTGCTTCAATCTTTCAGGTAGAAACTTGCTAGAATCTCAATTGCTGGCAGAACCTCGTTTCTGCTCGCCATTCTTTGTAAGTACAAAGAACAAAGGCCCTTCTTGAGCCCTGGACGAGCCTTCAGCCCTCATCTTCTCCATCTTCCCAGCGCTCTTCCTTTTCTTACCTTTTCCTGCTTGGTGCAGACAGCAGCTCCTCTTCAACACACCCAGATCTGCAGCTTCTGCTGTGATTTTGTCCCCTGCTGTAACTCCCACCGTCAGGGTAAGAGCATCACCAGGAAGGGTGCAGTGTGGGGGGCCCCACAGGAATCCAAGCCTCTAAAAAGGACTTCCTTACCCCATGCTAAAAAGTTCTGGTGTCCTGGGAACAGCTGAGGCGCTCATAAAACTCAGGTCACAAAGCTGAAGTTCAAGCATGCCTTGGAAACCATACACTGAAATGCTGCTATCAAGTCAGGTGACTGACTCAGCTGCAGTTGTGGCTCAAGAGGGAGACCACCTACTTTGCAAGCCTCGAGCTGAGTCCAAACCCCAGTCCACCAAAACAAAACTAAAAAAAAAAAAGGAGAACGTATCTAGAGTGGTGAGGAAGAAACCAAGGTATCCACTATCAACAGGAAATTAATTTTATTTTCAAATCCAAAGGGCCAGAACAAATTAACTCCTACCCCTGGAGGGTGAACTGAGGTGACCAAGGTTGGGAAGAGGCTTAACAGTGAGGGGCGGGGGAGGAGCTTGTCCACACCAAACAGCTGGAGAGCAAGGGCATCTTCACTCAGGCGCCGCCTCCATCAGATACCCGTTCTCTGGAGCGAGGTACCCGTCACCGCCCTCAGATTCCATGTACAGATCTCGGCCATCACCACCCAGCCCCTCCAGCCCGTTGTCCTGGCCACCGCCGCCGCCTCCACCTCCGCCTCGGGCCTCATCCCTGCCCCGCTCACCACCCCGCTCCCCCCTCTTGTGCTCGCGATCCCGGTCGCGGTCCCGGTCCCGACGCCGCTCCCGCTCGCTTCGGTGGCTGCGACGTCGTTCCCGGTCACGATCCCGACCTTTCTCCTCTGGACCATCAGGGCCATCAGGACCAAGCTCCCCAGGAGGCCCATCATCAGGAGGTGCATCACCAGCCTCAGAAGGCTCAGCCATGTCGCCGCCGCCACCACCACCACCGCCGCCTCCACCTCCGCCGCCACCGCCTCCACCACCTCCTCCTCCACCGCCACCACGCAACTCCTCCTTGCGCTCCCGCTCCCGCCGTGCCCGCTCCCGGCTCCGGCTACTTCGTCGCTTCCGTTCCCGGTCCTTGTCCTTGCTTCGTTCCCTGGAGCGCCGCCGCTCATCTTTGTCTCGACTTCGGGAGCGCCGCCGCCGGTCCCGAGAGCGGGAGCGCCGGCGTTCCCGCTCCTTGTCTCGCTCGCGGCTCCTCTCTCTGCGCTCCCGCTCGCGGTCCCGGTCCCGGTCCCTGTGAGGAAGCGGGGAAGGCCCGGGCCTGGATGAGGTGGGTAGCGCTGTGTGGCAGGGCTCCCCATGTGACCACCCCCCATCCCAGGAAACAGGTCCCCAATCTTACCTCTCATCATAGCGGGATGTATCATCGCGGCCTGAATGCCGGATATTCACATCAGCCCCACCTCTTCTGGTACCACCCAGGCCACCTCCTGCAAGCATGGCAGAGGGACCCAGGGTCAGCCTGGGCAGGCCAGGAAACCAAGCACAGGGGGCCACTGGCCAGGTGCTGTGCTAATCATTTCCAAGCCCTGTTGCCGAGACAGCTGCTTCCACACACGCCACCTGACCTCCAGGAGGTGCTTGTGAGGACATACTGACAAGAACACATCTGACCCCAAAGCCCACACTCTGGCTACCATGTCCCACACAGCCTCTTCCTGCCTCTCTCCTCGCCTGAGCTCTGTGGGCATCAGGTGAAAGCACCAGCTGCTCTGAAGCCTTCCATCCTCAAACGTCAAGAAGCCATGCCAACCCCTCCCCCTTGGCCCTGCCAGGTACCATGAGCATCAGCACCTGCCATCTCCTCACACTCTTTCCTTCTGCCAGTTTCTTCCCTGAAATGACCTGGACTTCCTTGTCTCCATCCTCTACTTCCTCTGAGAGCCTGCCCTGCTTAACTAAGCCCTCCACTACATTCCCCAGGGCCTACCAAAACTCTGCAGCTTCACCTGCACTCTACCAGACGTGCCTCAAGAGGCGGCACCAGGCCTGGCTTTGCCCAGTCTCTGAAGCAAGCACACAGCACCTGGTCTGGAAGGGCTTGGGTATCTGCAAATGAATAAACCAACTCATCTTTCAGATGGAGAACCACTTAGTCACCACATCCCAGTGCCCCGATTCCGCAAAGAAGGTGCAGGTGGAGACATCACTCTCGTGCACTTGCAAAGCCCAAGTCTGCCTTGGGGTGCTCAACTAGGAGCAGGCAGTGGCCAGCTGCACCACTACTTTCAGCTGCCAGGCTGCATCGTGGCGATGGGTGAACCACAGTAGATGGGATGCAAACAGCATCTAAAATAAAATATGTTCTCTCTGAATCCTAGCCACTAGGAAGTGAGCAACCCTCTCCCCCACTTCTGCCATGTTTCTGTCTTCCCACAGGCCTAAAAGAGAGCCAGCTGATCATGGTCTGAAAGGGAGGACCAAAATCGGTCCTCCTTAAACAACCACCACAGCAGAATATAAACACTATTCACTACATATAGAAATGTAGGGAACAATTATTGTTTCATAGAGCCTACATTTGGATTCTACATATTTCTGCACATGTATGAGTGGAGATACATGGCTAACACCATCAGCTTGACTGCCAACTGAACTGGAGGATTCTGGAAAGATTCTGACATTGCAAGAGTGTTCCATCAAAACAGCAGGTGTCAGAGCCTAAGAGCCCATTTCCCCAGAGAGCTGGAGACTAAGTACGAACGTGGTTATCCAGTGCGAGGCCCACCAGTGGCAGGCCTACCCATCACTGGTGTGGGTGACACTGGAGACCAGCAGCAATGCCGAGAGTGGTTGCTCAGGAAAGAGTGAGCACCTTCTCTCAGAACTGCCACCCAGGCATGCTGCCACACAGTCCATGCCCAATCCTGAACCATCAGATGGGCCACTCCATGGAGAACACAGAACAGAGACCGAAGCCAGGCGCTAGTGGCTCATGCCTGTAATCCTAGCTACTCAAAAGGCAGAGATCAGGAGGACTGAGGTTCAAAGCCAACCCTGGCAAACAGTTCATGAGACCCTAGCTGGGGGAACAAAAACAAAACAAAAACAAAAACATCAAAAAAGGGCTGATGGGATGGATCAAGGTGGAAGCCAAGTTCAAAATCCAGTACCAAAAACACCCAAAAAGCAGAGACTGATCCAGGGCTAGGGTCAAGCATAGCTGTGGCTGGCCATGCTGCGCCAGGGCAAGGACACACAAAAGACACCAATCTGCGGACAGCGCAGACATGGCACAGGAGCTGCAGAATGAAGGACATTATGGCTGGGCTGCTCTACCTCCTTACCCTGGAAAGCCCAGCTACCAGGTCCTCTGGAGGTCCCCCTGGCACAGCAGGCCTCTGGACACCCATGGTCCTGAATCAACAAGCCCTTCCATGTTTTAGGAAGCTCAAATGTGTTTGTTAGACTTGCCACCAAACTTGACCTTGACTGCAATGGTCAAGGACAATTAAGAGAGCCAGTGAGGGAGCTGATACAGGAGGCTCAAGGACAAGAGGCTGCTGCTGCCTGGTTCTACATTAGAAGTGTGGTACAGCCAGGCTGAGTCCATGAATGAGTAAACAGCCAAGTGAGAACAAAAGCAAGGTGGGAGCAGAGGAGCAAGTGACACCTGCAAGTCAACTGTGTGACACTGACCACACTGGACATCAGACCTCCAAGTTCAGTGACCGATGAGGTTATTCCTACTGTCCAGGAGGAAGAAAATGAGGCAGCAAAGAGGGCCAATCCACCAGCCAGTAAGCCTGGAAGCCAGCAGCTTGCGGCCAGCCAGCACACGCCATGGTGCTGAGGATACACAAAATAGCAGACGGCGTGGGGAAGAGCATGCCAGCAAGTACAAGATCCAGGTACCCAGTGGGGCCCAAACGTGCTCACCTAGCCGCCGGGGCCTCCAGCCCTTCACAGTTCGGCCCCTTTCCACATCCACAAGGACTCTCCTGCCATCGATCTTCTTGCCGTCTGCGTGCTTGTAAGCGGCTGCAACAGATGTGGGGAGGGGGAAGGGGAGGAGTCCCCAGAGGGTCCTCTAGTCAGCAAAGGGCCCAGTGCTGCAGCATCCCCAACCCCCAAGACCCCCATCATCAAACACACACGCACACACACACCCACCAGCCAGCCAGGCAACTGACAGCCAGACCAACCCTCTCCCAGCCCTGTGTGGGGCCTGCTCCATCACACTGCCTGCTTCCTTCTTAGCACCCCCAATCACTATGGGGGGGGCAACATGCCCATCCCCCAACCCCCTAAGGCCCCCAGGCTCTCCCCACTTCCACATGATGGAGCAGCCCCCTTGCACCAGGGTGGCCAAAGTTGCTGCAAAGAAACTGGTGGTTAACTTAATGCTGGGCTCTGCTGTGGGGGAGGGGGCTCCTCCACAACCCCAGGCATGCACCCTGGGACATCATGCTGGGGCAGGAGGCCCAACTGGGCCACCCCACGCCCCAGTTCACAACAGTTTTCTTTTTCTGGATTTTTTTTTTTTTTTTTTTTTGGAGGGGAGGAAGTGAGTGTGAGGAAACAGACATCAGAAGAGAAAATGAACCAGAAGGGGATGGGAGAAGTCTTTGGGAAATGGCAGGGAGCGGAAAGGCGGGGTTTGCGCTCCCAGGGGGCCTGGAGGGCCCCCCAGCAGGGGAAGTGGAGGGAGACGTGCGGTGCTACTGAAAATCCCTGCCTTACCTGAGAAGACTGACCCTGCCACCACCCAGCTCAGCCATCTCTCCCCTCAACACCCAGCCTGACAGTGCTGGGAGCCTAGCCCCTACCTGGGCCCACTGGGGGAGGAGGGGAGGAGTAGAGGATACCAGGGAGAGGCCCTTACTGCTCTTGGGCAGGACACAGACAGGGCAAACCCAGTGCACCCAAGCCTGTGATGACATGGGGCTGTTGGGAAGGCCAAAAAGTCCCTGTCCCCCTCCCCAGCTCTAGCCTAGGGCACTGTCCTCAGCCAACCACAATACCCTGCCCCGCCCCAGCCCGCTCCCCCCCAAATAACAACCAGAGGAAGAGAAAAAGGTGCCATTTACCGATGCCGGCCTTGCGGGTGTCCAAACCGAGCGGGATGGGGGGGGCTCGGCAACTCCTGGGGGCCTGGCGAGGAGGCGGGCTTCCCGGGGGGGGGACACGGGACCGCTTACCTGGAGCCCCCAAGCTTACCTGAGCACGCGCACAGACCCCACACCCACCACCATGGGGTCAGCTAAAGCTACAGGGAAGGGAGTTGGGGTCTCAGGAGCGTCAAGATGGAGAAACATCTCCTGCACCTCCTAGAGAGGCTGAGGCAGTAAGTGGTGGCCCACGGAAAGCCCATGGAGCAAGGACTGACGGGGAATGGGGGCTGGGAGCCCTGGGCCTGTCTTCCTTGAGCTTAAGAAGGCTAAGAGGCCTTACAACATGTTGCCCTTGGCAATTTCTCATACAGGGTACGGTTCGCTCCACTAGGCGCAGGCCCACCCTCAGTGCAGGGCACAACCTTTCCACCTCCAACTCCATACACCCTCCCACCAGTGGCTGCAGCTCCAAGGCTGGCACGGAGGGGACACACTCTGGGGTCCAGGAGATGGAGTACGGCCATGCTCCGAGGAGGGGCCTCTTGGCCCCTGAGCCCAGAGGAATGGGGAAAGGAACTTAAGGACAGGGTCAAAGGAACCCTGCTCAGTTCAGTGTCCCAAACCCCAGGAGAGGCCCAACCCAGGAGGATCAGCAAAGAAACGTGTGATTGTGTCCAACTAGGCTTCTCTCTCTTTCCCTCTCTTACGCCTCCAGACAGCGGCAGGTTCGGAAGTGAAAACCTCCTACGCCTTCAGCCGTTGGCAACCTATCTCTCGATCCCTCCCACACAAGCCCAATTCCATGCACTTTGGGGAGCTCCTGACCACCTCTGGAGGGCAGCTGGACAACACAGCCAGCCCCTTGGGAGGCTACAACTGTGGTAAGGCAAGATAGAAAGGGAGCAGAGCACCCTAAGACCAGCAGCCAAAAAGACTCCCAGGCCACCACGTAGCAGCCCCACAGAAGGCATGGGGGCGGGGAGTGATGGGCTGAAGGGTTCCACATGGAGCCCTGGCCCTAGTGTACCCCAGCTTTAGTGTTCCCGCCACCTGCCGCTGATGTCATGAAGCCAGGTAAGTCGAGGGCCGGGTGGAGCCTGACTGGAGAGGCCAGCTGCCTTCCTCATCAAAGCCCACCTTTCCCCTCATGGGATCAGCAAGATTGTTGGAGAGCGTATGGATCAGGGGACAGGAGGGGCAAAGGGCACCCAAATAAGGAAAGGGCTGTGGGTGCGGGGAGGCTGAGGGGCGGCCGGGGTGGGAGGAGGGATGCCTCGCTGCTCCTGAGCTGCCTGGCTAAGCTGGGCTGGTGTGCGGTGCTGAGTGATCTTACCCATGATACAAACCCTTATACCAACCATACACTGAGGTGTTGTAAGGGGAGCGTAAGCATCAGCTGCAAGCCAGCTGCGTGGTGGCTGCAGTGACAATAAGAACAGTCAATTAATACGGCGGCCCCTGGACACGCCGCAGCCCTGCCCACCCCCCCCCCACCCATCCCTGCCCATGTGAACGCCGCGCAGCCTCAAGGGGGCTTTGGAGCTGTGGGGGCAGGCGCTGAACACGCCCACCAGCCCACTGCCCACTGAGGAACAGGGTGGGGGTCAGGGGAGGGGAGGCAGAGGGTCGGGTGGCCCAGCCCCAGTTCTACTGGGGGGAAGAGAGGGCAGGTTCAAAGGCCAGTCCTCACTCCAACCTGGCCGTCCCCACTCCAGTGGGGGAATCATGGGGAGAGGCTCCCCGAAAATCCGACCCCTCCCCCCACCTCCAGCTGGCCCCAGCCCCCACCCAGTTCCCTCCTTGCCCCTGAGGTTCAACGTGTGACACTTACCTCCCCGGGCTCACACACACACGTTGTGGGGAATTTGGTTTTTTTTAAAAAACACGTATATAAAAAAAAAAAAGATATATCAGAAACAGAGGGAGGAGGAGAAGAGACATTGCTAATGTCAGGAATGGCGAAGGGAGGGGTCAGACGACGGGGAAGGGCTGGGCAGCAGAGAAGTGAGAGGGGCAGTGGGAAGGGCCAAGGCGAAAGGTACTCACAGTGCATGTCTCGCTCATGTTCATACTCAATGAAGGCGTAGCCTCGGGGCTTTCCTGACCTCTTACTGTAGACCATGTGTATCTGCAAGCGGACAGGCCGTGTTAGTCCTGCCACAGGGACACCCTATCTATAACAAAACTGGGGGCGCCAGTGATACATCTTCAGACCTCCTCTCTTCCTTCAAAAGCCTCGAGAGACTCATGCTCTAGTGGCCAGAACAGAGGACACAGTGGAAGACAAAGGCAGCTTCCTGGAAAAAAGGACACTTAAGCAAGGACACTGCAAACAACCAGGGATGAAAGTGAGGCCTGAGCTCATCAAACAGAGGAGCAGGAGTGGCAAGGACTGAAGGTTAGGAGAGGTGGGCTAGAGGAGACTGGTGATGCAGCTCAGTGTGCGTGGAACACATGCTGATGAATGGTGGACAGGCACCAGCTCATCAAGTGCCCCCAACGCCAAGCCAGCAGACTTCTGAACTGAATGCCAACAGGGCAGGCACACAACCCAGCATGTGCAAAGCCAGAGAGGCCTGAGGGCCCAAGAGACTGCAGGAGGGTCCTACCACAGGGACAGCAGCAAGGATGGGAACAGCATGGAGGGATCCAGCCTTACAGGTAGTATAGGACCACAGGGTAAAAGGTCTGAAAGGCCAGGCTATAGCTTCTGAATGGGAGCCACCACAGGCTGTAAGAAGAAGGGATAAGGTCATCTCTGGGCATCAGAAAGACCCCCATGGAGTTTCGTTTCGTGGCCATGGCCAAAGTGGCAGCAGCCAAAATGAAGTTCAAACCCTTTGTGACGTCTGTCCAAAGCAAGAAGTGTAAAAGGCATTTCAGTGGAGGAAGACAGCTTTCCAGAAAGCTGAGACAGAAGGACAACGCTCCATCCATGCTCATCCAAAAGGATGATGAACTTAGGTCGTGTGAGGGCACTATAATCATCAACAGACTGGCAAAACAAGCCAGGTTTAGAGGAAGAAATATGTCATCCACACTGAATGGGTGCAGAGTGAAAAGCCAATGGTACAACTGTCCATGTGGGAATTCACCCCAGCACGGTGGTTATCACCAGGCTAAAACTGGACAAAGACTGTAAAAAGACCCTGGAACAGAAAGCCCAGGACTCGCTAAGTTGGAAAAGAGAAGGAAAGTATAAGGAAGAAACAACTGAGAAGATGCAAGAATAAAGCAGTCTTATATACAACTTTCATGAAAAAAAGAGAGACCCCATGGAAACATGTGGGGGTGAGCTACACAGAGAACAAAGGCCTGTTGGGACAGTGGTGGCCAGAATTAGAGAGCATCTCTGAGGGCCCAGTGTTCGACCTGGACCCAAAAGGAGGGCTAGTTCTCCACCTAAGTCACTACCTCTCAGGGCCCCATCATGAATGGGTGTGGTTCTCAATTCACCAGATCCCAGGACTTAACTCTAGGACCCTGAGATTCCAAACTAACCAGAAGTGGGCTGCTGGAGTAGCTCAGTGGTAGAGCATCTGCCTAGCAAGCGTGAGCCTGAGTTCAAACCCCAGTACCACAAAAAATAAAAGCAAAAACAAAAAAACCAACCAGAAGTGGGATGAGAGGCACAAAGTCAGAGTAAAGGCTCCATGAGAGCACCCCACCTCAGCTGGGGGTGTAGTTCACCCCTAGAGCACTTGTCTAGCATGCATAAGGCCTGGGTTCCATTCCCCAACACTGCAACAAATAAATGAAAATAGAACTTAAAAATACTTCCTGACTGGGCAGAGTGGTACATTCCTGAACCATCAGCACTCAGGTGGCTGAGGCAGGAGGTCACAAATTTGAGGTCAGTCTGAACCCTGTAATAAACTACATTATAACTTAAAAAAAAAAAAAGAAAAAGAAAGCCACCGGTTACTCATGCCTGTAATCCTAGCCACTCGGTTCTTATTTGTTTTTGTTTTTGGTCCTGAGCTTGCTAGGCAGGAACTCTATCATTTGACCCACACCTCCAACAATCCTAGCTACTCAGAGGCAGAGATCATGAGGATAGCAGTTTGAAGCCAATCCGGGCAAACAGTTCATGAGACCCCATCTTAAAAAAAACCCATCACAAAAAAGGGCTGGCAGAGTGGCTCAAGATGAAGACCTGGAGTACAGGCCCCAGAACCACCAAAAACAAAAAAAGTCCTTGCTACATTTTAAACTAAATAAAGAAATGTCAAAGTTTTGCTCTGTAAGGAAGTCAGCATCTATTTTTGCTAAGGGGCAGACAGCCGACACTTCCGGCTTTGAGGGCCACAGACGATATGGAAACTAATGAGCCTAGCTGACTATGTACCAATAAAATGTTACTTACATAAAGTACAGTTTCCCTGCCCCTGCTTTAAGTCACAGAGCATTCACTATGCCTCATTTTGCCTCCAGTACTCACAGGCTGCAAGAAAGGCTATAAACTCAGGCCATGAAATGAAGAGAGTCCCCAGGGCTAGGAGCCCAGCATTCTCCCTCCCTTTCAGACCACTGTCCTTCGCCTCCCCCCATGAACCCCAACTGAAGACCTTACCCCAACCACTTACTCTTTTGATGGGTCCGTACACCTCGAACTCTCTCCGCAGTTTGGATTCTGTTGTGTCATAGTTCTACAAAGAGACACATAGGAAATTAAATGGGAAAAGAGAGCTGTCCCACAGTCCTCTATCCAGACCCAGGCTCTCAGTGGCTCAGGTTTCCCAGGAAAGATGGGGACTCACCACTCTTGCCACGAAAAGAGTCTTGAAGGCATCACCCTGAGCATTGGGATCATTGTGAGGGTCCCCTGTGCAGGAAAAAAGAGAACCTATAAGTAAGGTGTCCACAGTCTCAGGTACCAAAACAGATACAGATAGATGGGCAGAGGCCAAGGAAATACAGATGGGACTGAGAGAGGCCCCCAAGTTGAAGCAAAGTTGGTGACCTGGAAACCTTGGGCACATCTCTCTCTGAGCTAGTCACTTAAGAACAGTGTTCTGTAGAGAGTGACTGGTAAATGATTCAGCCTGATAGGTAAGGCTTCAGGATGTAGCAGGACTAAATGTCATTTCAGACCTAAACACCCTTGAGGCCCCATCAGTGTCAGGTTGAGGGGATCCATCTAAGCAGTAACCAACCACTAGGCTCTCTCTGAAAGGCACCCTGATCTCAAGGGCTAAGCGTCCTTCCTTCCTCCCTCCTGTACAGCTATACTGCCACCCACTGGACACAGAGGGCAACTACAGCCCATGGGAAAACCTGAGACCAAAGCAATTCCAAGGCTAAAAATGGGGGTCAAGCACCTGCCCTGCTGTCTCCTCTCTGCCCTGAAGCCTCTGGGAGGAACCCAGAGCCAGTGTGAAGCAACTGAGAAGGGCCTGCTGGTATCAGGCCAGACTTACTGCAGCGTTACAGCTGTAAGACAAGAAGTCATCCTATCTGGCCTCTGTGGAATAATAATCTCCAAAGACGAGAGCCAGGAATCAATTAAAAGTCAATTCTGCTGGGTGTGGTGAGGCCTGCCTATAATCCCAGCACTCAGGAGGCTGAGGCAGGAGAACCTGCCAGTTTGAGGACAGTTGGGTCAACCTGTCTCAAAATAAATAAATAAAAATCGTCCTTTTCACCCATGTGGCTGCCTGGCCCAAAGGTATGCAGTCCATTACAAAGGGCCAACCGTGCTTCAGTGGGACAGGGTTACTGTCAGACATTAAGGGAGGAAATGAGAAAAAGCATATTAATAAGTTATTGAGCACGATACTCTGGCCCAGATACAGTGCTACATGCTGAGCTTTATTTTTCACTATTCTGCAAATGGAAGCAAAATACAACAAACCCCGAGACACAGAAAACAGGCAAAGGGCTGAGAATGGCTATACATCTCATCCTTAGCTTTTTTGAAGTAAGTTTTACAGTACTGGGGACTGAATATAGGGCCTTGAGCTATGCCCCCAGCTTCGCCTAGGCTGGTCTGGAACTCTCAGTTCTCCTGCCTCCAGTACCTGAGTAGCTGGGATTACAGGTAAGCACCACCAAGCCTGGGTATAGCCCAGACCTTTGTATTTTGGGGGGGGAGGTGGGGGGGAGGACTGGGGTTTGAACTCGGGCTTTGAGCCTGCAAAGCAGGTGCTCTACCACTTGATACAAACCTCCAGTCCATTTTGCTCTGATTATTTTGGAGATGGCGTCACATGAACAATTTGCCCAGGCTAACCTGAAACCACGATCCTCCCTATCTCAACCTCCCAAGTAGCCAGGATTACAAACAAGAGCTACTGGTACCCAACCAACCCAGACACATTGTACTGGACTCCCCAGGTGCTAACTTCTTGGCTACTAGTATAAGTCAAGATGACTTTGAGGAATCTCTTAAAAACCAGCACCTTGAGCCCGAATTTAAGGAAATAGCTGTATGGGGACTGACTGAAATTTTGAAGGCAATTCTATCTTCAGGTGTCCTCCCTTGTCTCCACAAATTCCTCAACACACCTCATCCCTGTGCTGTACGCTTCTGTGCCCATGTCTCTCCAACTACACACTCAACAGGTAATTATTAAGCACCCAGTATGCAGATAAACTGTGAAGGTGCTGGGGATGTGGCTGTGAACAAGACGAAAACAAAAAACAAAACAAAAAAAACCCTACCCTCAGGGGCTTGTGCGCTAATGAGGGAACAAGCATGGTAAGTAAGACCAGTCACCACACCAGAAGAGGCAGGCGAGTGGGGAGAAGAATGGATTTGAAGTGGCAGTTACAGAGGCCTCAGAGATAGCAACATGTGACTGAAGACCCCAACACTCGGCAGCAGGTGGCAGTGCACCTCCAACACCAGGCAGAAGTGTGAAACAGATGCTGTCCTGTGAACACTGCCTGCATGGGCAGACAGATGCCAACTGAGAGCTGAGTTTCCTGAAGGGCAACCAGGAAGTACCCAGCAGACAGAAGGAGAAAACACCCTAAACACACTGCATGAGTTCTGAAGTTCTTGTTTACCCAAGTGTGACTAAAGGCAAAAGAACGTGCCACCAAGGCAACAGTACTGAAGTATCTGAAGGAACACATTACCTGAAAGAGCGTGGCAAAGAATTAGGTCAGTGGTCCACGTCAGTATGTACCCCATTCTGCTAGAGATGCAACCCTGAAGAAGGAACAAGCCCAGAGTAGGCCTCCAAGGACTGGACCATGAGGCTGGGAAGCTCCACTAGGCTTGTAGATTATCAAGATAACATCTCAGACAAGCCTCTGTTTTTCTCATCTTGACAACAGCATTTTTTTTATTGTTTTAATCCTAATATTAACATTTTGCTTTATTTTGTTTGGGCGGGATGGGATTTGAACTCAAGGCTTTGTGCTTGCAAAGCAGGTCCTCTACCACTTGAGCCACACCTCCAGTCCATTTTTCTCATCTTAAAAATGGAAGGAAGCCAGGTGTGGTGGCACACACCTTTAATCTGGAGACTGAGGAAGGAGGATCAAAAGTTCCAGGCCAACCTGGGCTCTGTAAGACCCTGTCTCAAAAAAACAAAAAACAAACCTTCTGCACTTAGGAGAATCTATGAGAAGTGGTAACACGAAGTATATCGGGTGCTCAGCAAGGGAGCAAGGTCCCCTTGAATGGAGGCTATTAAATGTGACAAGGCACAGCAAGCTTCCAGAGTTATGAAAGGAGGCTTGGGGGCAGAGAAGCCCTACTATACTTGAGCCATTCTTTTCTTCAGTTCTGTTGTGGAGAAGTTCAAATACTTGGTGGGTGGAAATAGAGAACAGTACAATGAACTCACAAGAACCAGCTTCAGTTACCAACATGTGCCCAAACTTAACTCATCTCTACCTTTCCCCACTCCCACTGCAGTATTTTAAATCAAATCCCAGCACATACCATTGGTTTCTTTTACAATAAAAAAATTTTTTTTTGCAGTATTTCAACTCAGGGCCTACTTTTGAGCCACTCCACCAGCCCTATTTTTGAGATGGGTTTTTTCAAGATAGGATCTCTCAAACTATTTGCTCAGGATGACTTTGAACCACGATCCTCCTGATCTCTGCCTGAGTAGCTGGGATTACAGGCATGAGCCACTGGCACCCAGCTTATAGTAAAAACTCTTGAAGGAATTATAACCCCAGCACCATTACTGCACCTAAAAAAGTTAACACCATTAATCTCTTAACCTCATCTAAGTCCCATCATTTAATTTTCTTCATTTGGAACTGTTCAAAACGGCTTTTACTGGGAACATGGGCCAAGTAGTTGAGTGCCTGCCTAGCAAGTGTAAGATCCTGAATTCAAACTCCATTACCACAAAAAAAAAAAAAACCTCAAAATGGCATTTTTACTTAGCTCATTTAAACTGGAATCCAACTAAGCTTTAAGTATCATTTGGTAATGTCTTTTGACCTTTTAATCCACATGCTCCCCTACTTGCCCCACCTTGTCATTTATTTGTAACAGTGGGTCACAAGTTTGTCCTGTATATCCCACACTCTCAAATCTGGTACAAAGTGAGTCTGAGTGGGCAAAGAAGGAATTTCTTTTGCAGAGGGAAAAAGAAAGCAATCAGACAGATCAGCACTGTACTTCAGAAAGTGCTGCAGTGGACTTGGGCTGAGGGAGACATACAGAGGTGAAGCAGGTATCATTACTGTGTCATCTGAGCAAGGGCTGCCCTGGCTGGTGGTGGTAGGCAGACATGGAAGAGCCAGATTTGTGACATTTACAGTGTAACAGAAACAGGTCTTGGTGCCAGGCCGGGGACGTTGCTCAGTGGTAGAGCATTTGCCTAGCATGTGCAAAGCCCTGGGTTCCAACCTAGCATCACAAAAAACAAACAAACAGGACAGCAACAAGATCTGACTTGCACAGGCTAGGAGCCAGGTCCCAAAGAAAGCATCCCAAGGAAACTGGGCTGCTGGTGTGCACATGCATGCACATGCGTGTGTATGGGGGGTGTGGGGGGGATTGGAATCCCCATTATGGTTTGGAAACTGAGTCTGAGATGCCCTTAAGGCTTCTGGAGGGGTCATTAAGACATGGTGAGAGTGCTCAGAGAGCTCCCAGACTTGTAGCTGATTTCCTGAGGAAATCAGCCACTACAGGAACTACAGGAATAAAGTTTGGGCAAGTGAATCACCAAAGCCTCACAGGTGCAGGAGACAAACTCACATCCTCTGACCATGAAGTCTTCACCTTAACAACAAAGGGCCAGTGGAGGATGATATTTGACCCACTTGTGAGTTTGGTTAATGACCCAATGTACTTGTCACCTACTCAAATTCCTCCTTACCTACAAGGGATGGAGTATCACAGCCCAAGGGTCAGGGAGCTAGGGACAGAGCCAGGACAGACTCACCTCCTGGGTGCAGTAGCCCTCAAGTGCATTCCAGGCAGGAGGGGCTGAGGTACCAGAGTCTCCCTTCCTACCAAATCCTTGCCCTATGCTCTCCTGCTTAAAAGCCTAACCCCAAATGAAGTGCTTGTCATATGGGACCTGGGGGCTAAATAAGTGACCCAAGCCCTCTTTCTTCACAACAGAACCCTGGGAGAGCAGGGGGCCAGGTATGAACTGGGAAGAGGAACATAAGGGAATGTGAGGAAGTAGAGAGCTAGGAGCAGGAAGGAGACTTACACATTTTTAGCTCTGTCTCTACTTCCTGCTGTCGCCGTTCAATCTTTTCCCGTCTCTGTCAGGAGAAAGGGAAGGTAGAGAAATGAGTGCAGAAAGTGCCTTGATGTCAAGGACCACCTAGAGAAATTGGCTAAAAAGACACAGAGTAAGGAGAAAAAGACATACCTTCCTCTCCATGCGTTCCTCCCGGGTTTCTGCACGAGTCGGAGGAGGGGCATCTCGAGGATCCTGGGAACAGGAAGACAGGTGACAAGGGAGGGGGAACCAAGGGACTCCCACCAGGAAATAAGAATCTCAGCTCCCTTTCACACCCCCTTCATCTACACAAACACACACCAATAGAACCCAGGTCATAAGACACAGGAGAGCAGCACAGATCAGAGCACAGTCCGTGGACCAGCACTGACCACAAATTATTGCCAGTCTATGACAAGGTAAATACAGATATCTGATGTATTCACAAACTTTTACAGCAATTGCACTGAACAATTTTAGGTCCATTGACCACAATAATAAAAACATACTTTTACTGTCCTTCTTTAACAAAAACAACAAAAAAGAAAAAACACTCATATTTGCAAAAACATCAACCCATAAGGGACTGCAAATATTTGTCGCTAACCACAGATAATTTGAGAGGAATTTAAAATGCTAGTGCATAGGTGACTCCTAACTTAAGAACCCAACACCAGGCCAGGTGCCGGTAGCTCACACCTATAATCCTAACTACTCAGGAGGCAGAGATCAGGAGGATCACAGTTCAAAGCCACCACAGGCAAATAATTGGTGACGCCCTATCTTGAAAATACCCAAAAAAAAAAAAAAAAAAGGCTGGCGGAGTGCTTCGAGTGGTAGACAGCCTGCCTACCTGAGGCCCTGAGTTCAAACCAAACTTCAAAAAAAAAAACCCAGCACCAGCTGGTGTGGTTTAAGTGGCAGAGCACCTGCTTAGCCAAGTGCAAGGCTCTCAATTCAAACTCCAGTACAAGAAGGAGGCGAGAAGGAAGAAAGGAAAGAAGGAAGGAAGGAAGATAGCCCAACACCAAAACTCCCCTCCTTCCTATATTTAGGATTCTTGCTGCTCCTCACAGCTCTGAGGACAATTATGGAGAACAAAGAGCCAGAGAAGGTGACATGACAGAAGCAGTGACTGGAGGCCCTTGCTTAGGACTGCCAAGGAACTGGACCAGGCCTGAAGCGACAGGAGCTGGACACCCTCCAAGGCCACAGCAGGTCTTAATAGGTCTCACCAACCTCTTGTTAAATACTAACTAGCACATGACCCCCACCATCAAAGGATGCCACTGGCCTGTACCCAATAAATTCATTTAATTGGCCAATAATGTTGTCAAGTGCAAGTTCACCATGGTTGGCAAATGCACCTTTCTGTTACCTACTCATGCAACTCTGACTGCTGTTCCTTGTCCACTGCTAGCTAGAATGTTCCTCTTAGGACTTCAGGCCATGTGCCAGAATTTCTCAGGTTTGCTGATGGCACATGTGGCTATCCCAATTTTTCAAATGAAATAACTGACACCCAGGAGCCCTACTTCTTATTCATTTACCCTAAGGCCAGAGATGAAATTCCTAAGCCCACAGCCTTAAGCACACCAGTACGTGGTGCTCACCTTCTATCAATACTGCCCTCCCCATGATATGAAAACACCAGGTACTATGACAAACACTGACATTCACCAACTGCTTAGTGCAAAGGCTTTAAGTTTTGCCATTCAATTGTCTATGAACATGTTACCAATCCCTCTTGCTGAAGTCAAAGAAACCAATGTATTAAGAGGATACAAAACAGGCTGGGACTCAAGTGTAAGAGTGTCTGTACAGCAAATTTGAGGCCCTGAGCTCATACCCCAATACTGCCAAAAATAAATTTAAAAAATGAAACAACACTTGCCCAAGGTCATACAGGTGATAAATGGCATGGAGCAAAGACGACCTGAGTCCAGAGTCGAATCTTCAAGCACTATTTACTGACTTTTTGTACAACACCTACAAGGGATGTACTGACTCCTTTTAACATGGGGACATGAGGGTGCATCTGACCAAAGCACGTTATATGCACGGACATATCTCAATAAAATCCCTTTGTGCAATTAATATATGCTAATAAAAAATGTCGCTGAGGATCAGAAAAAATAAATCACCTATGTACATCACACAGCTAGAAATGGCCAGAAGCTTGACTCCCCAGTCCAGCTCCCTACTCCCCAGAATCCCAGCCACTTTTATTCTGCTCAGTGAACTCACCTCAAACTCTCGGATGTAGGGCGCAATGCCACAGTAAGGTTGATTGTGGTGTTTTTCATGTGGCAGCTTCTCCAGGGGTGGCAGATATGGGATGGGATCACGGGGGGCAAAAAGGGCCAGAAGGTTGGGCGGCAGGAACTGCGTCATCTCGCCAAGTCTGAGAGCAGAAGGACAACCTTACATTAGGGCGCATCGGTGCAGATGGCTCCCCTATTACTCCCTCACCCTCAGAAATGGGGGAAAACAGAAGCGAAGTCTCAAGACCAAAGCAGGCTTTGTAAGGGCAGAGGGCGATCCTACCAGAATCTACTTCTTCAGGGGGGTAAGAGGTAAATCTGCACGAGAACCCAAGTTCTAGGCGGGAGCACAGAAACAAAGGCTAAGGAGGGAAAGAAAGACTGGAAAGGAGTTTCTGAAGATAAAATCTCAAGGTCTGGGCCAGAAGCTGTAGGGCTGAGAGGTTCCCCGGGGGCTTGTGGCGAATTAAGGAGGCCCAGAGCAGTGGTGGCTGGTGGCTCCGTACCTTGGAAATTAGAGGGAAGGGGTCTCAGGGGTCTGAAGAAGGAAGTCTCTGAGCAACAGGAATCATAAGGAGCAAATCCCCAAGCCAGAGGCTTGTGGGTAATGGATGTGCTCCCAGAGACGAAAGGAATTCTGGGTAAGGGTCCAGGACACACAGAAAGGCGAGATGGAAAAAGGCAACACCGCAAGGGCCTGTGGGTAGGGGACCGCGGTGGGTGGAGGGAGTGCTGAGAGAACAGGGCGCGAGTGCACCGAGGCCTGTGGGAAAGGGGCGCAAGAGTGCTGAGGCGGGGGTCGCAGAAAGGGAGACCCGCCGCGGGGAAAAAGCCTAGAGCCCACCGCAGGGGCTTGTGGGTAGCGGCCCCGCACCCCCGTAAGGCCCCTCAGTCACACTCACCCGCCGCGCGGCTCCCTCCTCTGCTTGACGCTAGTCCTGGGGCTCGCGGCGGCTGCGGCAGCCCCTCAGCAACAAGGACTCCTGCTCAGGCTTCGACTGCGTCCGCGCCCGCTTTGATCGCCTTCTGTCGCCGGCCCAGCGCGCGCACCAGGCCGCTACGCAGAAACCCGCGCGGCCTCAGCTCGCGACGGAACCAGGGGGGTGGAGCCCAGCATCAAATCCCTCCGCCGCCGCACTGCGCGTGCGCCTTGCGAGTAAAATGCTGTCCACACGTCAGGCCCGCGCTGCCGCGGGAACAGCGCATGCGCAACATTACAGCTACGCCTTCGGACTCCTTAAACTCCTTTGCCGCGGACTCCTGGCGTCGGCACTGCGCAGGCGCACTCTCCACCCAGCGTCCTCCTCCACATGCGGCTCTCGACTCCAACCGCTTCTCTCCGCGAGACTCTTCTCGGTGCTCCGCCCCTTTCCCTAACACTTCCCGGATCTTAAGCGTTGCAGAAGCTCCTGTACAATATCCCTCCGCCGCCTGTCAAAGAGTCCGTACGTGGACAGTGTGATTGCGTTTTGACCAACATATTCAATCTATAGCTGTGCATTGAGTACTTTGTGTGTGCTACGCGTGGTTTGGGCTCCGGGGACACAGCATGTAGCAAAGCAAAGTCTTTTCCTACTCAGCCTACGTTGTACTGGGGAGACAAAGGCATTTAAGTGAATAAATATAATTTAAGAAAGTGGACAGTGCAATGAAGAAAACAGTTAAACGGTTGGAAAGTGAGAGGGAGGGTAGTTTTTTTTTTTTTTTTTTTTTTTTAGAAAAACCTATTTTAAAAAGTGCTACTGTAAGGGGCACTCAAATTGCTTTTGCTGAAAAGCACTGACTCCTTACTTGGGCCCACAGATTAACTAAAACCAGGAGAAACTTGACATCCCTACCTCCATTTTGTATCTGTCTTTGCCCTAAGCCATTCTCTTTACAATGACTTTGCAATAACCTTGGATTCCAGAAAGAACAGAACTGATAACATCTTTATGACAAGGGGCTGAAACTTGCCATAAGGAACAGTGGAGATTTGCAGGACAGACCACCCCACCAAATGAGAACAATTACTTATAATGATGAGGCTGCACCCTGGAGCAGAAGCAATTATCTCATGGGAACCAGACTGCTCCCCTCAAGTGATGACAGCGATAACATCTTCCCTGGAACCCCTCTGGGAACCCTTGGACTGACATAATGGTCAACCAGAACACACCTGTGACCAGGACTGTTTATGCATACTTTATCCCTGTTCCCAGTTCTTTCATCTGTTTAAACCTATAGCTCATGTCTGTACCCCAAAGATTGCTAAGGATGAGCTGAGTGCTTACTCTGCCTCTTTCCATGACATGTTCCCAGCCATGTAATAAATGTCTTTTCTCTGCCTTCCCCATGACTCTTGATTTGGTGTTTAGGGGCAGGTGCTGGACCGGACCTGGCATATAGAATCTCAGGGTTTGGGCCTTGGATCCCAAAACTCTGGTTTCACTACCTGTGAAGAGTAATGTTGGAAGAAAGGCAGGATAGACAAAACATGGACAAGGTTAGGGCACGTCCAAGTCCAAGTGCCCTGAGGTGGGGCCTGGCTGCAAGATGCCCACATTGTGGGCCTGTGTGGAGGAACGTATTGTAATCTATTGGAAAAAACATGTTCTGTGCTTTAAAGTGTATTCTGAAGGTCAGGTGCTAGTGGCTCATGCCTGTAACCCTAGCTACTCAGGACACAGAGATCAGGAGGATCACAGTTTGAGGCCACCCCAGGCAAATAGTTCGCAAGACCCTATCTAGAAAAAAACCCTTCACAAAAAAAGGCTGGTGGAGTGGTTCAAGGTCCCTGTAAGGTACTGCCGAATAAAGACCATGCCACATGTGGAAAGGAAAGATTTATTGGTCCAGACTGCAGGGCTGTCACTCTTGGGTTCAGAGTGAGGTAGCTTGGTTGAATTGGGTAGTGGGCTTTATAGGAGGGGCCAAGCCATGGGGGAGGGAAAGAGAGTCTGGTCTCTGATTATCTGCGATCACCAGAGGCATGTCTGCTGACTTGCCTGTAGTAGGAAAAGCCTCAACCCATCCAGAAAAGGTGTCAACCAAGGATAACAAATATTTAAGTTTTTTATGAGCTGGCATATGGGTAAAATCAATCTGCCAGTCTTCCCCTGGTATGGAGCCCCGGAGCTGGTGAGTAGAGAAGGAAGGGGGTGTCTCAGGCCACCCTGGGGGAAATCTGGGCACAGGTGGGGCACTCTTGGGTAACTTTCTTATGAGAGATGGAGGGAAGGATGGAAGAATAAAGGCTGAAGAGAGCGGAGAAGGGGCTTAGCACCAATATGACGGGTTCTGTGAATGGCCCTTAGAACCCCTCTGCTTGTGTGTTGGGGAGAACATGTTTTCCATTTAAAAGGAACCATCCTTGTGACCCTGGCATGGCTCCTAGATTTATAAGTCTATTTTGCTCTTCTGATGTATAAGTAGGATTTATCTTAGGAGTGGTTATAAAAAGTGCCATGGGAAGTTCTGTGCACTAGCCGTTTTTGCCTCTACGTCAGCAAAGGCATTGCCCTGGGCAGTCTCTGCAGTGTCTGGTTGGTGTCCCTTGCAATGGATTACTGCTACTTTTGTGGGAAGGTAAGAGGCCTATAGCAATTTAAGAATTAGAGACCTGTTGGTGATGGGTGTGCCCTTTGTGGTGAGAAAGCCCCTTTCCTCCCAGAGAGCAGCTGCACGATGGTGTACAATGTGGTAGGCATATTTAGAGTCAGTAAAGATGTTGGCTGCTTACCCTCAGCTAAGGTAAGGGCTCTGGTTGGAGCGATCAGTTCTGCCTTTTGAGAGGTGGTACCCATGGGAGAGGACTGGACTCAATATGAGGGACACTATGGCATAGCCTGCTCATCTCCTGCCTGTGGAGGAACGGCCATCTATAAACCAAGAAATGTCTAGGTTGGGCAGAGGTGAGCTTGACAGGTGGGGTTGACAGTAAGCTAGGGTCTCTAAGGATTCCAGGCAAGAGTGTTCCAGGGGTGTGGCGTCAGGAAGTAGGGTGGCAGGATTAAGGGGAGGGCAGGCTTGTAAAGTGACATCGGGGTTTTCTATAAAAGTAAGGTGGAAGAGTTGTAGTCTTGAGGGAGACAGATTGGAATGGCAGCGGTGAGACAAGAGGTCAGTCAGCCGGTGGGGGACAGGACAGTGGTGGGCTTTCCAAAAGCGAGTTTGAAGGATTCCTGAGTTAACAGGGCTGCCGCAGCCAAGGCATGCAGGCAAGGCTTACAGCCCTTGACAACAGGGTCAAGCTGCTTGGATAAGTAGGCTACAGGGGTGAAGGTGAGACCCTTCATCTGTCCTAACACTCCCAATGCCATCCCTCCTCTCTCAGTGACATATAGCTTGAAAGGGTCATCTAAGTTTGGGAAAGAGAGAGCAAGGACCTGAAGGAAGGCCTGTTGAAGTTTAAGAAAGGGAGTTTTAATGGGTTTGGCTGGGTCAAGGGGTTCATTTAGAAGGCCCCTTGCGGCCTCATAGAGAGGCTGGGCCAAGAGAGCAAAGTTGGGAACCCATGTACTGAGGTCACCAGCCAGACCTAGGAAGGAGAGTCCTTCCCCTTTAGTAGAGGGGACCATCAATGACCTGACGTGGGCCTTCTGGTCTACTGTAATCTGTCTGGAGGTCGGTGTTAGAAGAACCCCAGGTATTTAACCTGTGGTAGGGAAAGCTGAGCCTTGGAAGGTGAAACTCGATAGCCCTTCTGTGCTAGAAAGTTGAGTAGTAAGGCAGTGTG